CATATATACCATTGTTTTGTGTATGGAGCGTTGTTTTAAGAAAGACATTTTTGGTAATTATGAGGGGTGTGACGTCATCTATATGGGTGTGACACCACCCACATGAAGTATTAAATGTCATTAATGTGCTCTATGCAGGTGGTGTCACACCCCATATAGATGATGTCATACCCTCCTAATGACCAAAAATAACTTTATTAAAAAATGCTCCATATACAAAACAAATGTATAGAAGTATCCAAAATTGTTGAGTACAATGATAAATTACTCTATAGTGTAAGCACATCAAATAATCTCTCTGTTTTCCTGTATCCCGAGGATGAATTGGCCTTCTTATGCACATCAAATAATCTATCGAAATGGAGCAACTATCATCTTGAGATAGCGCTCTTGCATGCTCGAAAACAAGAAGAGTTTGAGATCTAATTTTACAAATTGTATCATTTTCTGCCCCCATTTCACCCACCAAACTTCCAACAACGGATGCCCATGTTGCGTATCCCCTCTACTTTATACTTTCACCTCTGTCCATGCTCAGACCTTAATTTTGTTTTACTATTAGGTTTTAGGGTTCTTTCCAAAGTAATTTGGTGGAAGCGAAAAGCCTTGACCTCTGATGGTGAGCCTAATTTTTTAACAGCTTATATTCAATGGAAAAAAAGAGATATGTAAGCAATGTGAGGATGTCCTAATGGGCATCAGTCTATGGCTTATAGATGGTCATATGACCAACATTCTTCCATGGTAAAGGCGTTTTTAAAATGCCGGTCTTGGAAAATAAATTCTTTTTAGTCCAAATGGGGTGAAAGAAGTATCAACCATGTGCATATTAGGGTCCACCCTTATTTACTTTAAAATTATGAGTAATGATCCTATGAGACCCTCCCACATCCATGTGTGTAGGATCCCAAATGATTACCATTAAATTTGGTACAAATCTCTAGAAAAGTCAAGTCCCACACCCATATGATAACTTTTCTTGAGATTTGTATCAAATTTAATGGTAATCTTTTAAGGTCTTACACAAATGGGTGCGGGAGGGTCTTATAGGATCATTACTTTAAAATTATACACACTTATTTAAGATAAGTAGCCTAAAAAACAAGGCAAAATATAGGTGGCCTTGCTCAAGTCTTGATACCACGTTGTTGTGTGTGGACCCACATGTGGCCTGACACCATGCTGATGTGAATAGTGTGTGGGCCCACATGTGGTCACGTTGCAAACACGTGGCCTATTAGCCATTTAAGCCACAAGTGTGTCTTTTCATCCTGTTTCATATTTTCATAAACAATTTTTTCTTGGCTATTTAGGGTGCTCAGACAGAATTATCTAAATTCTCAAAATTTCCTAAAAATTAAAATTTTATTTATTTTCCCATTTTAAAAAAGTTTGGAGGTCTAAAAAAACCTTGAAGAGAAGTAGGTGCTTACATACTTGAAAAATCACACTGCCAAGGTATTAAGCTCAATTTATCTAAAATTTCACAACCACTTTCTTAAATTCTTAAATTGGCCCCACAGGATCTACAACTTAGAGTCTTAAGCAGGAGCTTGTGCTCAGCCTATCAATGTCAACTGATAAGTGGTGTACTTCTGACATCTAAAATAGATTTTAGGTGGGCCCTTGAGGATAAATATGGCACTACCTAGGGGTGTAGGGGTTCCTCTCTTAATGCACATGTGTACCACCTTTCAAGACCTTTCCCCGAGAAGGAAGCTTCCATATATGACTATCATATGCACATCTTGTGGAGAGGTGATGGTAGGATTTAGATCTTATCCTCACATGCTAGAGTCCCTAAGCAGATATCTCTCAACTTGAATGACAAATGACCTTAAACCCTCATTGGTTATTGCCAAGGCATAGGTTTTTTCTGCAACTCAAGTGAAGGAATCCTTGAATGGCTACATATCCAACAAGCAATACGTGACAGAGGGAAAGAGATAGCATACAAAGAGATAGACTAAGAGATAGCATACAAAGAGATAGGCTGAGAGAGAGAGAGAGAGCCCTAACATGGTAGAAAGAGAGAGAGGAGTGTAAAAAAGAATGGAAATCCTTAAATTCAAAGAGAGAAGGGTCTATTGATTAGACCCAAACCCCTAGAAAAATACCAGAAAATTGTACAAACCAATGAAGCCCTACAGCCTAAATCCAAAAAGTAATCCATAGAATCATACTGACCATGATTTTAAGAGATCTCACAATGAGGAGATTAGGGCTTCCCTCTTATTTGTTCTTTGAAGACTTGCCCTCACTTTTTTAACAGATCTCATGGTGATGAGAGTAGGGCATTCTTCTTATTTGTTCCTTGAAAGCTTTGTCCCTTAATTATTATAATTCATATGTCATAATAATAACAAAGCATTAAAAAATAAAAAAAATAAAAAAAAAGATTGTTACTTTTTGAAACTGAATTTATTCATCAAAAAATTATTGTAGTCCAAGTTTGCATCATAACAAAATAGAATGCGAAAACCTATTAGGCCGATCATTCATTCCAAATAAAAATATTTTTATTTCTTATTCTACATTATTTTTATTTTAAAAAAAAAGAGTATGGGCATCTTCAAAATTGGCTAAACATGAATAGTTTTCATACATAAACACGAACAATTTTTTAAATTTGAGTTAGGTAAATTAGGCTTTTCAAGATGGACTTATGTAAGCACAGACAATTTCCCTGTTTAATGAATGATGGACTTCAATTTTTTTTATTTTGAAATTAAAAAATATTTTATGAAGAATAGAAATTTCAAGTTTTCAACAATGAGATATAAAAGTATAGAATTTTTTTTATTATTTTATTTTAATTTTAAAATTTGAAAATAATATATATATATATATATATATTTTTTTTTTTTTAATTTAAAAATGACCTCATTCTAAAAAGAGTGAAGTTTCTATCAGATTTTATGAAAACAAAATAAAACTTCAGCTCAAATCTTCATCTAGAAAACACTCTCGGCGCGTTAATCTTCGGGATAGTTCTAAAATCAATTTTCAATACGGACAATAAAATTTAAAATTCAAAAAAATATAGAGATCTTGCGAATTTGTTAACACTTAATAGTCTCGATGATTTGTAGTAATATATACTAATTTAAAAACTTTAAATCCTAAATTTTTTTCACAACCATGATCCTGAAGCTGAGACGATCGATTTAAAAGTTTTCCAATACTTCAATTGCAATTTTTGATGATTTGGTGAGGCTTTAACTTATATTGGGTCTTCATGTCTGATGCCTCCGAATATACAAAATCCATTCTCTCTCTCTCTCTGACTTCGCAACTCTGGTACAAATTTTTTATCCTCGCCTCTCCTCTCTCTCTGTCCTCTAACAAGGATGATCACCGTTTTAACACCTCATTCCTCCAACCTTCTTAACCCCACTGAAATTCCCATGGGTTGTCACCGTTTCCATTCTTGCGCACAAACCCTAACCCTACTTCGTTGTCCTGCAACTACTTTCAGGAGAATAAGAAGAAGCAGCAGCAGGGTACTAGCAGCTGGGACATCTGGAACTGAGGTGTTTGGCATGGAAGAATGGCTTGCGAAGCTCCCTGATAAGAAGAAACCTCTCTATTCTCATAGTTTGCCATCCATTGAGGCCTGGCTTATGAATCTTGGGTTTTATCAGAGCAAAGAAGATCGAGCGGTTTGGTTTGTTGAGAAACCGGACTGGCATGCTCAGCTTTCACTTGACATAACTGATCTTTACATAAGGTTGGTGTCTCTTTTTTCTGAACTTTATGAGGCCTAATATTATTTGACTGAATTTCTTATATATGTCTGTGCATGTTCTTTCATGCATAACTTTGAATCTTTTTTCAATACTTGAATTCCCTGTATAGTTTGTAAAAAAAACAAAAAAAATTTCTAATTCATCTGTTTATGATGAGACCAAACAAAATATATAAACATGATTAAGTGGGCGTATATGAATTTTGTACAGAATAAATTATCTTTTCTTTTTTATTCTTTGTTGTTTTCTATTATGGTCTAGAAGGGATTTCATTGCCCCTGTGCTTAGGGAATGGTCTAGTTGAGAACCATATAACCATTTATTGTAACTGACCCAACTGCATTCTGTGTTACATTGTAACCGGTCCGGTTAGAGAAACCGGCCGTTTTTTAATAAAAACCACCGGTTTGAGGTCTAACCAGCCGGTTTTGGACCCGATATTTTTTTGAGAGATGGGTTTAACTATTGGTACCCCTAAACCGGCCCTACCCGGAATCGGTAACCTGGCGGTTATGATCTAACCGGCCGGTTCCTGTTGAAACCGGCTGGTTTTGCGAACAATGGTTGAGACTCTCAACCACCAATGAGGAGCCCATGATCTATCATATAGATTAAGCCGTGCAAGAGGGCCTTTGCCTCTGCTGTAGTCACAGTTTCATTACCAATCAGCTTTGAAAAAGTCAGTGGGACCTTTATTTCAAAGCACCTCAGATTCCGAGCTCACTTAAGTTACGAAAGGAGCACCTTTTAAAGTTTAGTTTGATGGTGCTGGTTGGCGAGGAATCCAATTCTTTGATCTTTGGGTAGTCCTAGGGTTGAACCTAGAGATCATAAGCCAGTTTTGTGGGAAGTTCAAAGTTGAGAGATTTCAACTCAGTTCAAGCTTTGCCCAATTTATCACAGTGGAGATTTGTCGGTCCTTCATGGCCTGTATTTGAGACTCCTTACTTTTGAAATTTTTGTTGTTTCGTTCCATCCAGATTGTGCATATTAAGGCGATCATGGAAGCTGTCCATAATAACAACCTCCTAATGATGGGAAAGTTACATGCAGACAAAAGTTGTTATGTGGCTTCAAGGAGATCCACACCACATTTAACATACCAGTGTTTTAAAATGTGGCCACATCGCCGCATATGCGGCCGCATCATGAGGGATGCGCTCGCATCCGCATCAGAAACAGGCGCATATGCGCTTTTGAAAGATGCGGCCGCATATGCGCCGCATCAGGCCGCATCGTAGCCGCATCCCGTATAGGCCGCATAGCACCGCATCCCACTGCTACAGTGTCTGTCGAATTTTTTTTCTGCTTTGCCCCTCAGGGAGGGGCAAAATGGTCTTTTTGACCATCCAAATGTTAGGGAAACTGTTTAGGGGGTTATTAGGGGCCCTAAACGAAGATTTTTAGCCACTTTTGTGGCTTTTTTTGCATCAAGTCGAGGTAAAAAAGGAATTTTTTTTTCATCAAAATCTTTGATTTGGCGGTTGTTTGATACTTGGATGTTCATTGGATGCCTTTGATTGTTGATTTGGAGATGTTAGGATGAATTTGTAATAAAAAAATTGGGGGTTTCAGAGGTCGTAAAGAAATCGAGTAGTACTTCACAGAGTCGGTAAATTTTTTTTTCTTCTTGTACAATATTACTAATATACATATTTTTGGGGCAATGTCTTCTTCCCAATCTTCTAGTAATAAGGATCCGGTTTGGAAATATGCTAAACTAAAACATCCCAAAGATAGAAGTTGTGTGATATGCTTGATCTATAGAGATACTTATATGGGTGGATAACTAGATACAGAATCTCCGACAGCTAATAGTTTTGAAGTTAATCATTAAACTAAAATACCTACTATCACATATATCACCTTTATATTTTTTTTCTATGCATTAACTTATTTTTTAAAATTTTTTAGAATTGTTTTTACATTTATTGATCTCATCATCGTGATGCATCCGGGCCGCATCGGTCCCCCACCACATCAGAGCTGCATCAAGCTGCATCGGCCCCCACCGCATCAGGGCCGCATCCTGCATTTTAAAACACTGTAACATACTTAAGAGAGAACCAAAGCTGGTTGGTAATGGCAATGGAGGAAGAAGCAGTCCATTGATTCCTCGTTGTTTTTGCACATAATGCATCTAGTAGATAGGTGTGTCCCTCTTCATTGGATATGATCCATCTGCTGCTTTTCCACCCCCTTTGAATATCATATCAAAAGTCTCTTTCACTTCCCTATCTAATAGACAGGTGTGTCCCCCTTCATCGGATATGATCCATTTCAAGAGCCTTTTTTATGCATGATACACCACCTAAACGCTTGATTCTTCGGGAGGGACAGAGGGTTTCCATGCCTTGCTGACTATAGATGTTGGTGGCTTGACCTGTTGGAGTTGGACGTAAAAGGAGGGGACTAAAAAGATCCATAATCGGGATGGCTCCTAAATCTCTTATTACAACTCTGCCTTGGAATAAAACAGAATTTGAGCAACAACTGGTCTTCAAATTCTCTAATTTCAATTTTAGGTATTTACTTAGGATAGAGTCTAATTATGAAGATATGGGGGGGTAGAGAGAGAGAGAGAGAGAGAGAGAGAGAGAGAGAGAAGAGAGAGAGAGAGGAGTAGGAGGGAGGAGGGAGGAGAGAGAGGAGGAGGGAGGAGGAGAGAGGAGGAGGGAGGGAGAGAGAGAGATAGAGAGAAGGGGTGGAATAAATGTAGTGATGTATTGATTGAAAGAGAAAGGGAAGCTGAAAAGCAAGGTTCAATTGCTACCACTAGTTTAACTAGAATCTCAAGCAAATAAATTTAGAAAAAGTTGATGACATCTTTCCACTAACCGACTCTAAAAAACCTCAATATGAAATGATGATTCTACCCTTAATAAAATATGATACTTCCTTGTAAACTTGCACTGAAAACTACAGAGGTCGATTTAAAGGCCTTAAGATTGAGGGCCAAGAAATACCAAAAAGAGCGCAATTTTGATATCTTGGGTCAATAATCTAAGAAAATGGAGAGATTGAAGAAGATGTCGTACATAGAAATTAGAGTTGTGTGGGAGAAGTGGGGATGTGCAATCGGAATTTTATGTGATCGCCAAGTTGAAGGGCAAGTTCTATAGGATAGCTATGAGACCAGCTTTGCTCTATGGGGTGGACTATTTGGCGATCTGAAAAACAATATACCCATAGGATGAGTGTAGCGGTGCTGAAGATGCTGAGATGGACGAGTGGCAAGACAAGCAAGGATAGAATTCAAAATGAATACATCCGGAAAAATTTAGGTGTGACACCAATAGACAAAAAGATAAGAGAGAGTAGACTTAGGTGGGCTGGCCATATGTGGTGCAGACCTTGTACAACACCTGTTAGGAGGTATGAGTAAGTTCAAGGGGCAAACTCAAAAAGGGCAAGGGGCAGGCCCAAAAGGATATAGTTGGAAGTAGTGAGAAAAGATATGGGGACTTATAGCCTCACCAAGCGTATGACCCTTAATAAAGCAGAATAGCAGACAAGGATTCATGTAGCCGACCCAATTAGTTGCGAAAGACTTTGACGATGATTATGAGATCTTTTGGCAAAATGTGGTCGACAAGACCAGTGTAACAAGTTTTGCAAGTATAGACCTCCATATTACCTTCGAATTGAGTACCATAGTAGAAAATTGGGTGGTATTTAAGCAAAAAGTTATGGCCTTTAGCCTCTAGAAGGTGTAGTGCTCAAATTGCCTACATCAACCTCCCCTGGTTTGAGAGAACCTGCCCTCGAGTTTTGTTCTGCCATGAAATTCGTCCATGCTTTTTCATCAATTCACTTAAGATCCTCTTCTGAAATATATGAGTAGTCTCATTTGGGTTTATCCTTCCATTGGACTAGGTATTGGCTATATTGCGCACATCTGACAGTGATGGTTCTAATGTCAAGAACCTTATGGATTGCCTCAAAAGCTCTCTTAGTCAACTAATATTCACACTCTGCATTGTCTATACCAACACATTCTCCATAGTACTCATACATATAAAATAGATTGAAGATAAGAGATATGCCATACCCCCTGGAAGCTCAGCTTTTTATGCATTGTCATGTAGGCTCTAGAGAGCTCAATAGGAAAGGAAACTGGAAAGGAAATGAAAGTTTTTGCAAAGTTTTACGTTGGCTGCTAGCCTATCCCACCCCTTTTTCTGCCTAGCTTCTTATATTTGAGCTTAAATAGGTGCTGCTAAGGAAACGTTCTCGCTGCAGATAGACAATCAAAAAGTCAACTTCCCTATACTCCTCTCTTTAGTGTTGATCAACATCAGCTTTATAGTTAGCGTAGCTCTCTTGTGGCTTTTCCTGCACTTGCTTATGGACCTCGTGTAGGTGCTCTATTAGTGTTCTTGTTTGCTCCTCTCAGGTGGAGGATCCAAACTAGCTTATGTTTGGTGACTACCCATACATGATTGCAGAAGGAGACGTCCTAGCGTTGGTTTAAAAATATGGTTCGCCCGAAGCCTAGGCTGGTGCCTGGAGGACCTTAGGGCACATGCCTAGGGCTAGGCAGCCCTCCCCAGGCTTCAATACTTCGCCGCCGCTTAGTATTGGGCAGGCACCCAAGTGCTGGCCCTTTTTTTTAGAATAAAGTGCCCCCTAATGCTACTTTGTGTTGTTTTTGATGCACAAATTGTTCATAAAAGGCTATTGGGGGTATTCTAACTCCCCTAAAGTCAAAAAAAAAAAAAAACCCTCAAATTTTAGCCCCCAAATCGATTAATTTTGATATTTCTATGAATCGAAAAAGCTTACGCTGCTTATCCTTCATTGCGAGAATTTTTATATTTCATCTAGTGTAATTGTGATTGTGCGGCACAGATCCAATACAACATCTGTTAGGAGGTGCGAGTTAGTTCAAGTAGAAAGCTCAAAAAAGGCAAGGGGTAGAGTCCCAAAGGATATAGTTGGAAGCAGTAGTTTAAAAAATGGATCGATGCCCCGGATCGGG